CCCCCCCGGCACCATCTACTGTCCATCTACTGTCTAACATCCATCTACTGTCCTTACAGCAAGCTCTGCTGTTTAGTGAATGCCCCCACGCATTCACTTTATTCTGTCTAAGAATGCATTTCTTCTTGTAGTCCTCCAGTTGGAGTGCCTTCTTCCATGAGATTGTTCCTGACCTCCTTCCTCTACATCACTACATCATTACATCACTACAAGAAGTAGACTCCCTGCAGCAAGATGCAATTATTTTACATGCCTGGCTCTCTTCTGGACTGCCCTTCCTGGAAAGAAAGCATTTCTTCCCCAGCTCTCATCCCACAATAATAATGGTAGGTATACCACTTAATTAGTGACCTATATAATCTCTCCATGGCCTTTCTAACCTTATTTCCCACTGCTCTATAACATGACCCCTTTGGTCTACTGGTTACTACTCAGACCTGCATAAAAACTCTAAGCCCCCTTTCTTCCCAGCCTGAAATCCTGTCCCACCTCTTTCTCGATTGGTATCCATCTCGTGTCCTACTTCCCTTTAAGAAATCTTTCTTGACATCGTTCCATGAACTTCTGTGGCATAGATCTTTATATCCTCCACAACTCCTACTGCAATACTGGATACATAAAAAGTATCCAATCAAAACTGACTTAAGTGTGAATCCAATTATATGAAAAAAGTCTGCACATGAAAAAAATGGACTGAACATGAATTTATCAAAATGAAAATAGAGGTTTGTTTGGGTTGTGGGACATTTTCCTTACGGAACAGATTTAAAATTGTTATAGAAGTACTTAAAAACCTGTACACCCATTTAATAAATTACTCTTTATGTGGGAAAACTTCAGGGAAGCCACCACCAAAACAGACACATACAAAACAGGAGGCAGTTTATTTAGTAAAAGGAGCTCCTGAAGTTAACACAGCTAAAGGTTAAAAATCAGTTTGCCACTCTCTCTGGCTGTCTAACCTCAAGCAGAGTCTTAATTTTTGTGCCTTAAGTGTCTATATATATAGAATCTTGGGATCATTATGAAAATAAAAATAATCCATGTGAACTGCTTAGACAAATATGTATTTGGCGTATAGAAACATTCAGATATTGGCTACTGGCAACAACAGCTTCCCTGGTGGCTCAGATGGCAAAGCGTCTGCCTACTTTTTTAAAAATGACTTAAAACAACAGAAATGTATTATTTTATAATTCTGGAGGTCAGAGATCCAGAATAGGTTGCATTGGACTAAAACTGAGTTGTTGGAAGGACTGCATTCCTTTCTAGAGGCTCTAGGGAAGAATCATTTTCTTTTCTGGCTTCCAGAGGCCACGCACATCCTGGGCTCATGGTCCCCTTCTTCCATCTTCAGAGCCAGCAAAGGTCCGTCAAGTCTTTCTCACAGATTATCACTCTGACATTTCTTGTCCCTCTCTGTGACTTTTAAGGACCCTTGTGATTATGCTGGGCCTACTCAGATAATCCAGGTTAATTTTATGTTAAGATCAGCTGATTAGCAATCTAGTTCCCTTTCCTACATTCACAGGTTCCAGAGGTTAGGTCATAGAACTGAGGAGTAGTGGGTTAAGGAACAACTTGTCTGGAGTCACACAGCTAGCTGGTAGTAAGTAGGGCCAAGAACATTATTGTTATAATTCAAATAATATATTTTTTAGAAAGAAATAGAATTCTTTTGTAATTTGACCTCTGAAAGACAACTTGATTAATGAGTATGAATATTCCTCCAGGATTTTCTCTGCATATGCAATCCCAGCTGTACAACGCTTTCTCCTAAAAACAAAACGAAACAAATTTATGCACGGCTTCCTGAAACTTGCTTTTTTTCTTCTTTAATGTATCTTGGATATCTCCCCTTGTTAGAATACATAGTTCTACCTCATTCCTTTTACTTGCTACATAGGATTATATGGATGTATTATAATTTACTTGACTAGTTATCTAGTAATAGATGTTTGGATTATTTCTTTTTCCTCTCTTCAAATAGTGCCACAGAATCTCTCTATAAATTTATAGACTTG